TATCTATCTATCTATCTATCTATCTATCTATCTATCTATCTATCTATCATCATCATCTCTCTTGCTCAATTGTGGTGTAAGTTGAGGACTACCTGTATTAACCAGGTTTTATCCCTGTTTAGCATCCAGTCCCAAAAAAACACCACTTAAGTTTTTCAAAACATGGCGCGAGGTGAGCATGTCAATAGTGCTTTAACATCCATCTGAAACTGCTCCACGCAAATATAAACCATGTTACGAAGGCACATTCCAATTTTAAATTTTATTATTTTTTTTTTTTTTACTTCGGTTGATAGGACCTTCTCTAAAGCAAAAAAAAATCAATATAAAATTGAGCGTGCATCTAATACAAACTCTTGAAGCCGTTACAGGAACCCCTAGTTCATTCCAACTATAAAACTTTTTAAAACAGCTACAAATCACGTTACTATATCAAAACGGTGTCTTATCAAGTCCAAATTACAAATAATAATAATAATAATAATAATAAAAAAGGGGGTGGAAACAGCATGAAATGTTTTTGCACTACCGGATCAGTCTTTTAAAGTTTTCAATTCCTCAAACTTCCTTGGTCAAAGCCAATGAGTCATCACGCTCACCCCCCCACCAAAAAAAACTGGAAAACCCTTCGCATATTCAAATAACCCTGAGTATATAGTGCAATATAATACAAAGGTCAGATTCATTGTAGGAAAAGAAGGGGGGGGGGGAAAACCAACAATCAGATTATCGTTGAGTTGGAAGGGACCTTCGCAGGTCATCTAGTCCAACCCCCTTGCTCTCCCAAGCAGGAGACCCTAATCCTGGATTGGCGTTTTTATTGCAGCCGGGGCCAAGTTCTTTGGAAGAAAGCAAAAGTTAACGGCGCTTCCCTTAGAAAAGTGAGGTAGCCCATTGGGAAAGCAAGCGGATGTCAATAAGGCTTCAGCCGGTTTGCCTCGGTTTCTACACGCCGTCCAGACGAAACCGAATCCCAGTTTATTTTTATTTTTTTTTCTGGCTCGCGAGCAAAAACCACGAAAGGACGAAAAGTGGGGGGGAGGGTGGCCAGCCCCCCCTTGCCTTGTCCCTTTTTAAAGTGCAGCGCCCCGTGTCCTTAACAAATTAATAATAATAATAAAAGAGAGGACCACGCCATCCAGACCCAAAAAAAACAAACCAGGGACTTGTGTAAACAGGCGGCTGGACACGTGTCTCCTAAAGGTCTTCTGAATGGGGGTTAAAGAGTCATAAACATAAAGTTCAGCAGTTCGAATCCCCCAGTAGAGGGGGATTGGACTAGATGGCTTCCTCCAATGCAGGGCAGGCGGGTTGGTCTAGATGACCTCCAAGGGGCCCCCTTCTGTTAAAGCACTGTCAAGTGAGACAACATCCTTCTGTCTCCTCCTCCTCTTCCTCCTCCTCCTCCTAAGCCGTCTTCTCCCACCAGGAGGTCGGGATGCGGCGCAACTTGACCACGGGCGCCAGGTCGACCCTCCAGAGGCGTTGCGCTCGGCGGCGGGCGGTTTCCAAGCTGCGCCGCTCCCAGATGTCGCCGCGGACCTTGATCGGCGGGAAGGCGGACAGCGGGATCTCGGCCGGGATCGGAGGATCGGGAAGCGGCTCCGGCTCCGAAGGGGTCCGTCGGGCAGGGACTGGCCGCTTCTCGCAAGCCCAGAGCTTTCGGGGCGGAATCAGCCCGTCCTCCTTGGGCTTCTTGGCCGCTGGCTTTGCCCTCCTTCCTCCCCGGCGGCTCTTGGCGTCGGTCGGCGGGCGCTTCCTCTTGTTGGCGGCGGCTGCCGGGGCTTTTTCTCCTCCTCCTCTCCTGCTTCTCCTGCTGGTGCCGGCCGCCGCCTCCTCGTCGTCCTCCTCGTCTTGCGGCCAGCCGCGGGGCCAGTCCGGCACGACGGCCCGGCACGAGGCGTAGCCGTAGACGTCCTTGCTGCGGAGGATGACCGGCGAGAACTCGTGCCGGAGGCTGCAGAGGAAGTCCCAGAGCTCGGCCTCCGAGCTCATGAAGGCCGTCGAGCGGGGCACCAGCAGCTTCAAGGCGTCGCCCAGCACTGGGCTGCCGCCGCCGCTGCTGCCACCGCTACTGCTGCTGCTGCTGCCGCCGCGGAAGAGCGCCTGCGAGCGCGAGTGCACCACTTGCTCCCACGCCGGGCCGGCGGGAGGAGAGGAGAGCGGAGGCAGCCCGGGAGCCTGGCCGTCACCGACGCCGACGCCTCCTTCGGCCGCGGGGGCGCCTCCAGGGCCCGCCGGCTTCATCCTCGCTCTAGCGCCACGACGGCGGCGGCGGCTGTTGCTGCTGCTGCTGCTGGCTCGCGTCCTCTCCAGCGCCGCCACCGGCCGCCCAGCAATCTCGGCTCTCCTCCTCTTCCTCCCCCTCCTTTTTCTCCTCCTCCTCCTCTTCTTCTCCTCTTCCTCCCCCTCCTTTTTCTCCTCCTCCTCCTCTTCTCCTCCTCTTCCTCCCCCTCCTTTTTCTCCTCCTCCTCCTCTTCTCCTCTTCCTCCCCCTCCTTTTTCTCCTCCTCCTCTTCCTCCCCCTTCTTTTTCTCCTCCTCCTCCTCTTCTCCTCCTCCTTTTTCTCCTCCTCCCCCTCCTTTTTCTCCTCCTCCTCTTCCTCCCCCTTCTTTTTCTCCTCCTCCTCTTCTCCTCCCCCTCCTTTTTCTCCTCCTCTTCTCCCCCCTCCTTTTTCTCCTCCTCCTCTTCCTCCCCCTCCTTTTTCTCCTCTTCTCCTTCTTCTCCTCCTCCTCTTCCTCCCCCTCCTTTTTCTCCTCCTCCTCTCCCTCCCTTTTCTCCTCCTCTTCCTCCCCCTCCTTTTTCTCCTTTCTCCTCCTTTTTCTTCTTTCTCTTTTTTCTCTCCTTTCTCCTCCTCTTCTTCTTTCTCCTCCTTTCTCCTTTTTCTCTTCTCCTTTCTCCTTTTTCTCCTCTTCTTCTCTTTTCTCTCCTCCTCTTCTTCTTCTTCTCCTCCTCCTCCTCCTCCTCCCTGGCGAAAGTCACTTTCTCTTCTCAGCCCCCCCTCCTCTTTCGCTTTCTCTTGCCAGGCGCAACTTCTGCGCTGCCAACAGGGCGTGAGGAGTGGGCGGAGGGTGGTGGTGGTGGTGGAGGGGGCGCCGGCTGGGCCGATCGGTGCACACACACACACACACACCCCTTTCCCCCCCCACCCACCCGACGCCACCTCCCGCACGGCCGGCCCAAAATGGAGCTCTTTTTAAAAGCCCCCTGCGGGGAAGGTTGCTAAATCTCACGCCTAGTCTTGGCTGGAGTGGATTGGCCCGTTTGAAAATGCGTCACGGGTTGAGAAGCCCCGCCCCTGGAGTAGCAGAGCCCCTCTCGGAAACTCCGAGGAGTAAGTGGCTTGAAGAGGATCAGGAGTTCTAGTGGTGGCCTTGTTTACTCAGCCTATCTTCTTCCTCCCCAAAGAAGCCACCAGAAGGGGAATGTGGGCTTATGGAGTAGCTTTACTCTTGGGTTCCACACTGTTGGGGAGATCTAGTTGGGGAACCAACTGCTTGTAATCTGATCCACAATTCCTAGGGAGTTGGGAAGATTTGCTTTGAAGTCTAGCTTGAGATTTTATGCTCTGAACCAATGAGGCCTATTCTTCATTCTACTCCCAAGTCTCCAAACTTGGAACTTTTAAGAACTTATGGACTTCAACTCCCAGAATTCCCTAGCTAAGTCTCCAGACTTGGCGATTTTAAGACTTGTGGACTTCAACTCCCAGAATTCCCTAGCTAAGTCTCCAGACTTGAAACTTTTAAGAACTTGTGGACTTCAACTCCCAGAATTCCCTAGCTAAGTCTCCAAACTTGGAACTTTTAAGACTTGTGGACTTCAACTCCCAGAATTCCCTAGCTAAGTCTCCAAACTTGAAACTTTTAAGAACTTGTGGACTTCAACTCCCAGAATTCCCTAGCTAAGTCTCCAAACTTGGAACTTTTAAGACTTGTGGACTTCAACTCCCAGAATTCCCTAGCTAAGTCTCCAGACTTGGCAATTTTAAGACTTATGGACTTCAACTCCCAGAATTTTCCAGCTAAGTCTCCACACTTGTCCCAAAGGTGCTTTTTTCAAGAGGCAATTGGACTTCCTGGTTTTTCTTGGAAGACGTTTCGCTTCTCATCCAAGAAGCTTCTTCGGTTCTGAAGGGATGGTGGGGAAACCAGCCAGAGCTGAAGAAGCTTCTCGGATGAGGAGCGAAACATCTTCAAAGAAAAACCAGAAAGTCCAGTTGCCTCTTGAAAAAAAAGCACCTTTGGGGCAACCATGACAAGGATGACTGAGAATCTCCATAGACGTCTCCAGACTGGGCAACTTTTAAGATTTGTGAACTTCA